GGCTGGGGAGGAGGACCAAGAGGAGAGGACAATTTCTGGCTCTCTTCCCCAGCTGTTGGGGGTTGGAGCTGGTTTTGGCACTGTCTACTTGGTCTCACTGGAGGTGGAAGAAGGAAGAGGAGGAGGAGCTAGGGATTTAGGATTCTTTCCTTGAGGAGTTAGGTTTCTTACTATTTGAAGAGAGTCATGAGCCTGTGGTAAGGTTTCCAAGGGATACATGGTCAGGGTCTTTGTCTCCTGTCCACCCCGACCCCACCCCACAATTCCCACCCACTGCCTTGCTAGCACAACCCTACACGGCCTTTTGTGAGTAGAACTGGAATGAAGCCAGAGGCAGGGAAAGGAAAACTGTAGCCTTCTTCCTGCCCTCCAGCTTCCAGGAAAAGGACATAGTTGTTTTGTTAGGCAGGGAGGGGTGGGTAAGGAGAGTTCCAATCTCTCAGGCGTCCAGATGAGGCTGGTATTTTCCACCTGGTATTCTGGTCTGGGCCAGCCTCAGTCCCTCACCAGGCCGCACTGATTGCTAGTGTAGGTCAGTGGATGGCCAAGTCCTGCTATATGAGAACGACCTGGAGGGCTTGCTAAACCCCAGCTTGCTGGACCCCACAGCAGAATTTCTAATTCTGCAGGTCTTGGGTAGCGCCAGTATTTTGCATTTCTGTCAAGTTCCCAGGTAATGCTCGAGCTGTTTTGAGAACCTCCAGGCACCTCACGCTCAGCAACTTGGTATCCTGAGGCAATGACAGGGAGCTGGGCCACAGCTGGCAAGGCCCAACCTTAGAGGCACCAAAATACCCGGGAAGCTGCTGGAAATAGTCTTGTGGTGAGCCCCCTGTGCGGAGAAGTAAACTAAGGCACAGAGATCAGAGGCAGAGTCGAAAGAGGAACCAGGATACCAGGGTCCAGTGGAGAGAGGATAGTGATGTAGCATCCCAAAACACAAGGGCTGTTCTAGGACCCTAGAGATCATCCTGGTGCTCATGATAAAATCATAGAATGGGGAGGCTCAGAGAACCAGCCAAACAGAGATCTTCCCAGACTTGGGCAGGGTCTCCAGATTCCTGGCTGAGGATCTTCTTCCCAGGAGCAGTTTGAGTGGTATCAGAATGGAGTGTGACCATCCAGCCCCTGACTACCTCAACCCTTCAAGGATACTTCGAGGAAACCAGAGCTCCTTCCTTTAGGGCCTGAGATCCTGCAGGCTGGTGAAGGGCAAGAAGGGAAGGGAAAGAGGGGTGATGGGATAAGCGAGGGTCCAAGGAGGTTGAGGGAAGAGTAACAGGTAGTGGGGAGGAGCCGTGGGCAGGGGAATGCAGGCCCAGCATCAAGTCCCCTTTGGTTCTTGAGTCTGTGGACTTTGCAAACTTCACACACTGTGAAGGGTAAAGGGTAAAGGGTAAACCCAGGACAAGATATTCTGGAGGCAGTGAGGCCCAGGGTAGAGCAGAGAGGATAGTGGGGTATCAAATGGACAGCCTAATGGATGAATGACCTACAGAGAGAAAAACACAAATCAGGCTGCACCTTCTTCACAAACGAGGTTAGGCAGGACTGGGCAGGGTACAGGAGCCCAGAAAAAGGGATTCAAGTCCCCCTCTCACACACACACACACACACACACACACACACACCCCAAAGGGGACAGTGATGAGGTCCCAAGGTTGGGGACAGAGAAGATAATGTGGTTCAACAGTGGACCTAGGGGATGTCCTGCTGGGCTGGGAGGTCACTGCGCTAAGCCCAGTGAGAAGCACTGGTAAGGTAGATATTCTCTGAGGTGTTGGAAGGGTGCCTCCTTTAGTATGAGAAAACATGAAATAAATGAAACAGAACCAAGGAAACATCACCAGATATGACAGCAAACATTGGAGTCAGGCAACCACAGACCCAAGTACTTCTGGGACAGGACAGGAATAGGAGCCTGAGGAGGGAGGGAAGTCCATGGTAGGGGAGCAGAGCTGGATAGGCCATTCTGAGAGGGCTGGGGGATAGGCGTTAAAGCAAACTTGGGATGCAGAAGAGGAAAACCTGGTCATGGGTCAGGGCCACTTGGTGTGTTGGTGGGAATGAGCCAAGAAAAGGAGGCAGGAGAGGGGAAGCTTTGGAGGAAGATGGTAACAGAGTAGATGGCTGGGAGGAGGGGACTGAACAGACTGAGCCCAGAGAGAGGAAGGGGCTCAACCAAGAGCAAAGAATGGCAGAGAGGGGTCTCATTCACCACTGGGGATGCAGAATCTTCTAGAGTCAGGAAACCAGCCTTCTGGTCCTGACTCTGCCTGTAGTTTGCTGTGTGACCTTGGTGAGCCACTCTCTTCTCTGGGACCAATTTTTCATCTAAAAAGATGAGGGGCTTTGACACAAAAGGACAGAAACTGTGTGATTCCTCTTACATGAGCTACCTAGGTGAGGCACATTCATAGAGACAGAAAGTAGAATAGAGGTTACCAGGGACTTGGGGAGGGAACGAGTGACTTATTGTCCGTTCAGTGGGTAGAGTTTCAGCTCGGGTGGTTAAAAAGTTCTAGAAACAAATAGTGGTGATGGTTGCATGGTTTCAAGTCTGGGTTAGGTAGTGGCATATTCCAGGTGTCCTGTACCCACAAAGAAAAGTCCCCAGTGGGTCGGTGGGTTTACACAGCAACCAGGACAAAGTTGGGCTGGGGGATCTGATGGACCCAGGTCCTAATCCAGGCTCGATGACCTCCCAGTTAGGTGTCTCTGGGATAAGCCCTGCACCTCCGTTTCCTGATCTGCACTAACCCCTGTCCTGCCAAGGCTGCCTCCCAGAGCCATCTCTGAGAGCTGTGAAGCAGCTGTGGGATAGGGGAGCAATTTCCAGATAGCAGAGTACTCTGGGTGGGGTGTGCAGGGGAAGATTATTAGTACGAGTGAAGAGGTAGTGGGAGCTTGGGGGGCTGGTACGGTTGGAAGGTGGGGGACATTCTGGATGGGAGGGGAGAGGGAGGAAGAGCCTGGAAGCTGGGTGGGCAAGAGAACAGGCTGGGTGATAAAACTGTGAAAGGTGCATAGGAACCATGTGACAGCCAGCATGTGAGAGGGTGATGTCTTTGGGCCCTTCACTTTGTCAGCAAGGAAAGCAGCTGGGACAAGAGTATCCCTGGGAAGACCAAGAGGTGGGGCGCATTTTGAGTTCATAGAAAGCGAGACCTCTAGGAGGGATTTTTAAATGGGTCAGCTTTTGGTGGGGAACGACCTGGGTGGGAAAGAGGGACAGGAATTGGACAGATGCCTTGTGCATGCAAGACCTAGGAGCCAATGATGTGCCAAGTGGTCCGATTTTCATTTCAAATACAGACATCATTGTCCCCAGGAGGGTCTAGTTTGGCTCTGGGAAGAGGTCAGACATAAGAAACGTGAGGTTGTCCAGTTTAGGGTCAACCCAGGCAACTAGCCCCCCACTACCCTCCAACCAGTTGATGCCAACACGATAGATCCAAGCCCAGTGATCTGTAGGGGATCAGAACCCCCAGGGTTCCTTGGGACTTTGGTGGGAGAGTGTGCAGATGGTAGAAAAGGAAGAAGGATAGAGGAGGTTGAGGAGAAGGAAGAGGAGGAAGGTGCTGGGAGTCCAGTGGAGAAGCAGGAAGGGGAGAAAGGGAAGAAGGGCAGTGTTCCTTCCTGGGACCCCAGGGCTCCAGGGGAATCCCCACTGTGGGTCAGGCAGTTTTCTGCTTTGGGAATGTTACCAAGACTTAAAAGGCATTTGAAGAAACAAACAAACTTAGAAATTACACTCCAAAAGAGTACAAGAGTTTTTACAAACCAGCCCCCCCACCCCCAAAAGAGAAAACACAACCAGTTACTAATTAAAATGCTAAAAATCAAACCAAACCAATATTTACACATAACATTTTCAACCCCATCAAGCCCCACGTCCAGAGGCTTCTGCAGGAACAGTGATGAGTGACCTTGCACAGAGGCATGCAGGAAGTTGACACTAAGGACTTTACTGAAAACCAAGATCTGGAGCCTCTGACACCAGTTGGGGGCCAGGTGGCCAGGCGCTGAGACAAGAAGATTGCGAGGACAGTGTTGGACAAAGACGATGGTAAGGCTGAGTGGTCCATAGGCCTTGGGGTTCGAGTCTTATGAGGATCTCTCCCCAAGGCCGGGAGTGCAACCTCCCTGGTCCTCCATTGCTTGGGGAGGTGGCAGAAGGCCTCTGGTGGCATGTGGCCTGGTGTGAGTCCCCTCACCTGGAGATAACCTTGGAGGGACCCCCTGACCTTCTGAGTGGGAGCAGCAGCATCCCAGGGGAGACTGGCCCATGGCTCCAGGGACCTGGCTGTTCTGCCCACATAAGTCACTATGGCACAAGAGAGTGCCTGATCAGCCTGACATGGCCCTCACATTCTGCCCGTAGGGAATGAAGATGAAGGATCTAGGGTAACTTGTCCAGGTGACCCTGAAAGGGCAGAACTGGGAGCAGGTGGGAGTGCAGAGGTGTCTCCTGAGTCCTGGGGGCAAGCTCACAAAGCTGCTGGCTTTTGGTCTTCCTGCACTCTGCAGACAAGCTGCTTCATTCTGGTATTTCCACTCTGGGCCCCCCGCCAGTAGCAGGAGGTCCACGCATCTGCGTGTGTGTGGGCAAGTATGCAACCGATACGGGTTCACGGGCACCAAGGGAGAGGCCATCTGAGGCCTTTCCCCCACACTGCCATAAGCCACTGTGGCTCAGGCAGTTCACGTGGGATGTGGAGAAGGGTGGGCAGGGGAGCTGGGGCTGGAAGAGGGGCCAGGAGAGGCCATAAGGCTACGGAAAGAGGCTGGTGAGAAGGCTGGCAGGTGGTGAGAGCTGAGGCAGGCTGGCAGACACTCTCACGTCCATGTGCAAAGCTGCAATAAACAACATTCTCGAAGTTCAGTCCTGTTTTCCTGTGAGTTCTCACTTGGGGAACTTAGAGAGATCACCACGCTCTTGATAAGAGCCTTAGTAATCTGTGTTTGACTCATTAAAAAAAAAAAAAAAAAAAGGTTTCAGAGGGAGGGAGCAAAATGAGAGGGCAGATGGAGAATGTTTGGGAAGTGGGGACATTGGCCCAGCCCCCCACCCTGTCAGCAAGGGTTTGCAGACTGACTGCTGCTGCTGGGGGCTGGCCAAGTACCAGGCAGTGAGTGAAAAGCAGTGCTCTGAGGCCAGATGGTCAGCAGAATTGGGGAGCAAGCTGCAGGGCTCCAGCCCTACTGGGGGCCCTCTATACTTGACCAGGAGACTCGAGCTCAGCAGCCGAGCTGCCTTGTCTGTACGGGGGACCCCATGCCTGGCCATCATGTTAGAAGCCTCATGTTGTCCTAGTGGCAAGAATACATGTCTCAACCTCCAATAAATTACCTTAGGGACTTCGGGGGAAATTAAATTATTAAAATAAACTAAAACCACCTTAAATATTTATAGTAAGAAAAATTCAAATAAACAACCGAGGCAAGAAATGTGTTTCCAGGCCCCGTCCACTGCCGTGTCCTGGAGGCACTGGCCTCTGGGGGTGCTCCTTGGCCTGGTGTGGCCAATTGGGAGTCTTTCATTGAGAACAGCTTTGCCTTCTACCAGCCACAGGATGTAAACACAGTGGAGATGTGGCGCCCCCTCCAGGGTGCTGGGGAAAGAGGCCCCAGCAATCAAGGCAGTGGGCATTTAGGCAATTTATCTGTGCACCAGATCTTGAAACTGACTCTACCTATTTCTGTCCTGGGAAGGTTGGTGCCCGCCATCCCGCCCCCAACCCGGTCACCTTGACGAGGGAGGCAGTTCCAGTGACCCAACCCTGAGCCCCACACGTTTCCACCTCATCTTCCAGTCCTTGCTGCATCCAGGCTACGGGCAGGGAGATCCAGCGCCCCAGGATTCCAGGCCGATACTGGCCCTGGCTACTGGCCCTATCATACCCCCTAGAGCCACAGCAATCCAGAGCAGCAGGGCTGGGAGGAGGAAGCCGTGGAGGGAAGGAAGGGACGGGGAGGATGCCCAGCTCAGTTCCACCAGGAACCCCACGTTGAATCCTATGGCAGAGCCCGTTCTTGTCATGGTGTTTCCTGCCCATGAAGGAGGCCATGGTTGGCAAGGAACATCTCTGTGAGCCCTTTTCCCTGAGGAGCACAACCAGAAGTGTATCCTTTCCTTGGCTCTTCTGAGAAGTGGGTGTGGGCAGAACCAGGCGAGGCTCTCCCAACGGACTGGCTCCCAAGGGATTGCTCTGGAGCCACCTCTGCAGCCTAGTTGTGGTCTTTCTCCCACTTGCTGCCTTCCCCTGGAAGTCAGAGATCACCACCCAGCAGTCAGCAGGAGACCCCGCTTTACCTGGATGGGAAAGCTGTTCTCTGGCAGTGGTGTAGCGGCTGAACCTCCAAGGTGAGACGATGCCGAGGGCATGGGCCCCCCGCCTCGCCTCCTCTCTGCTGGTTCCCTTCAGCGATCCGGGGACTGGGCGGGTTGAGGTGGGGAGCCCGGCTGCTCTGTCACTCGCTGGGGGGAGCTGCCCTCTCTTCCCCACCCCAGCTGGACTCCGAAGGGTGCAGCCGGCACTTGGAAGGAGAGTGGCGGAGGGCAGAGCGGGACGGCCGGGCGAAGCAGGAGGTGAGAGACTGGGTGCTACAGTCACAGACAGCATCCTAGGAGCAGGGAGGATGAAGTCAGGAGGAGCTAAGAAGCACTGACCACCCAGGGGCTACATGGTTGGCCAGGAATTTGGACCCAGCTGTGCCTGGGGACCAGTTCCCAGTGACTGTGGCCCCTCTCTGGACCAATTTCTTTAAATTGTTTTTCTCCCATTAGAGTATTCATAAATAACAGTCCAGAATGTGATGAATTCTGGGATATACAGAGAAGAAAGTGGGTGTTGTCCAAAGATAAATTCTCAATGTTGCACAAGCATACGCTAATCAAAATCCTCCTACTGCCTATTCTGTAACTGCAAAACATAAACACTTTTCTGTCACTATGTATACCTAGATTTCCTTCCTTTTAGTGGCTATATACTACTCTACTGAATGGAAATACCTTATTTATCCAATTCGTGGTTTATGTGCATTTTAGGTAGTTTCTCTTTTTTTTTTAACTATTATCAACACACCAGCAATAATGGTTAGAAGTGCTGCTATAGAACTAGATTGCTTGGTTCAAATCCCAGCCCTGTCACTCCCTTGGGTAAGTTGCTTAACCTCTCTGAACTTTGATTTCCTTCTAAGATGAAGGACATGATACCTTTCTCAAAATTGTTGTGAGGGTCAAATCAAATATAATACACAAAGCATTTGGCATAGTGCCTATGAAGTATTAATAAATGTTAGCATTTTTCTTTCTTTTTTTTTTTTATTTTATTTCTTTATTTGTCAGAAAGAGAGAAAGAAGGAGCACTACCAGGTGCAGCAGGCAGAGGGAGAAGCAGGCTCCCTACTAAGCAAGGAGCCTGATGCAGGACTCAATCCCAGGACCCTGGGATCATGACCTGAGCCAAAGGCAGATGCTTAATGACTGAGCCACCCAGGTGTCCCAATATCAGCAATTTTTACCAATAATGCCATACATTTATTTATTTATACAAGGATATTCTCCCACCTCTGTGAATATTTCCATAGACTATACTCTTAGAACTACCAGGTCAATGGGTAACATGCACATTTTACATACTGAAAAATACTTGGCTCAACTTTAAAATCAGTATTCAAGGGACACCTAGATGGCGCGGTGGGTGAAGCCCCTGCCTTCGGCTCAGGTCATGATCTCAGGGTCCTTGGATCGAGTCCCACATCGGGCTCTCTGCTCAGCAGGGAGCCTGCTTCCTCCTCTTTCTCTGCCTGCCTCTCTGCCTACTTGTGATCTCTCTGTGTGTCAAATAAATACATAAAAATCTTAAAATAAATAAATAAATAAAAATAAAATAAAATCAATATTCAAAATACAGCCAGCTTGTACCTTTGTCTCTTGATGTATATATGGTCCCATGGATGTGATGGTTAATTTTATGTGTCAACTTGACTGAGCCACAGGGTGCCCAGATATCTAGTCACATATTACCCTGAGAGCTTCTGTGAGGTTGCTTTTGGAGCAGATTGCCTTCTCTAATGTGGGTGGGCCTTATCTAATCATCAAAGGTCTGGATAGAACAAAAGGGCTGACTCTCCCAGAGTAAGAAAGAATTCTTCCTGCCTGGTGGCCTTAGGACTGGAACTACATTAGCTACATGTGCTGTACTGGAATAACATCACTGGATCTCCTGGTTCTCAGGTTTTTGAGCTCAGACTAGAATAAAGCATCAGCTCTCCTGGGTCTCCAGCTTGCTCTACCTTACTCTGTAATCTTAGGACATATCAGTCTCCATAATTGTGGGAACCACTTCCTTATAATAAATCTGTCTTTCTCTATACACACCTGTACACAGACACAAAGACGCACAGACACACATACATACATACAGCCTACTGGTTTAAAAAAATTTTTTTTAAGTATAGCCATGGGGCTAGAGCTCACCCCTGAGATCAAAAGTTCTATGCTCCACTGACTGAGCCAGGCACGTGCCCCCACCAAACTGTCTTTCAAAAGAGTGTGCCCAATTTCTACAGCCTCTACTAGTATGTGGTTAGTGTTTTTTTGTGTTTTTTTTTAAAGATATTTATTTATTTGACTGAAAGAGAGAGACAGTATGCACAAAAGAGAGCACAGGCAGGGGGGAAGGGCAGAGGGAGAGGGAGGAGCAGGCTCTCTGCTTATTGGGTGTCTGACATGGGGTTTGATCCCAGGACCCCAGGATCACAACCTGAACCAAAGGCAGATACTTAACCGACTAAGCCACCCAGGCACCCCTGTGGTTAATGTTTTATTTCTCTATACTCCATACTTAAAACTTTTTTTCAGTTTAATGTACATACTGAACATATGATAAAAATATGCCTTACTGAATTCTCACAGACTAAATATACCCACTGTATTAGGGTTCTCTAGAGAAACAGAACCAACAGGCTGTGTGTGTGTGTGTGTGTGTGTGTACATACGTTGTGTATAGATGAAGATCGAGAGGTAGGCAAACCATAAGGGACACTGAACTCTAGGAAACAAACTGAGAGGTGCTGGAGGGGAGGAGGGTGGGAGATGGGGTAATTGGGTGATAGGCATTAAGGAGGGCACATGATGTAACGAACACTGAGTGTTGTATACAACTGACGAAAAGACTAAATTCTACCTCTGAAGCTAATAAAAAAATGTTTTAATCTTTAAAAAAAAAACAATTTGGCAACATTTATCAAATGTCTTTAAAATTTTTATATTCTTGGGCGCCTGGGTGGCTCAGTCGGTTAAGCGGCTGCCTTCGGCTCAGGTCATGATCCCAGCGTCCTGGGATCGAGTCCCACATCGGGCTTCTTGTTCTGTAGGGAGCCTGCTTCTCCCTCTGCCTCTGCCTGCCTGTACTCTCTCTATCTCTCTGAGAAGTAAATAAATAAAATCTTTAAAAAAAAAATTTTTTTTAATATTCTTTTATCCTATAATCCCATTGCTGCAACTTAAACCTAAGGAAATAATCCAAAATGTGGACAAATGTTTTTGTACCAAGATGTCCACCACAGCATTATATAAGGTAGGGAAAACCCAGAAACCACCTAAACATACAATACATACAAATGGGCCAGGCCCAGCCCATGCCACCTCTCTGCGCCCCCACCTTCGACCTTCACCGAGTGTACCGGAGGCCCCATGATACCACCCCTGACCACAGCTAATTAGACCACGGGGGTACACTGGACCCAAGTTAAACCAATCACAGTTTCTTCTTTCTTCTAGGAATGTGGAATTGGGATGGAGGGATCTGAATCAGTCTCAGGTGCTTGAACTAGAAGATGTCATAAAAAGCAAAGCTGGGACCACACATGTAAATGCAGCAGAGGGACAGAGGAAGAAAGCGGACATCAGAGAAAACAAAGCTTGAGGGAGAGAAGAGAGAGACAGAGAAGGTGCTGAGGCCTTTGGGTCCTTGTGCTTGGGATCCATAAGCTATCTCACTAACTTATAGTGAAACTTATAGTGGAAAACTAACTTATACGCATTCTTTAACTAACATGCAAATAATCCCGAACCAAATCTGAAATCGTTATCAGGAGTGGGATGTGCAGCAAAAGATTCTCAGAGAAAATGAAAGCACTCAGGCATGGAGTCTTAGGGGGCTGGGCAGGGGTATGCTAGAAAATGTTTAATAACTAATTTTCCAGGAGTGAGGGGAAAAGCCCGGATCTGGAGTATTTGTCAATTTCCATGGTGTAAGTCCTCCCACTACGGCCAATCTCAAGGTGCCAAGGTGTTTCACTGAACACAGAGATGCACACAATGACCTCTCAAGGACCAGATCAGCTGGCCCCAGCACACTGATGCAGGAGAGCAGTTAAGTGTTCCCTGGAGTGGATGCTAGTGAAGCCTCGCTCACTCGTCTCTTGCTTTTCAGACCGTGTGTCCATCAGGTCTGTTGTTCCAGGCTGGGGCCTTCTAACCCCCATTCCTTCCATCCATCCATCCATCCATTTATTTATTCATTTATAAGTGGGCTCTACACCCAACATGGAGCTTGGGCTCACAACTGTGAGATCAAGAGTCACATGTCCTACTGACTGAGCCAGCCAGGCACCCCCCCGTCCACCACCAACCCCTCTTTCCAGACCAGCAAAAGGACTTTATGAAACATACAACCATATTCCTGAGTTTGAAAACCAAGAGACTTTGGACATTCTAAGTCAACCTCCCCGCTCCCAAGAAAAAGAGTAGACCCCCACCCACCTACCTCATTGGGAAGGGCTGTGGCTCCATCTCCTTCCCGGGGGACACCATCTTTCCCCACCTGGGGGAGCACTGAGAGTCTGGCCTCCTCACTGCCGCCCGACTTGGCTGTCTTCTTGTTCAGGATCCTGGCCATGCCCTCCGCCTGATGGTAGCTGGCTGGGGAGAGGGGCTCCGGCTTCTTGGTGCTCTCCTCCCCGGATGCAGACGTGGGGCTTGGGGCCCGGCCACACACGTTGCGGAAGAACTCCTGCACGATGCCGTACTTTGGAGGTTCAGGCTTGGCCCGGGCTTCAGACATGCCCAGTTTCCAGACAGACTCTGTGCTTCCCGAGTGCTCCACCACACTGAAGAGGCTGGACAGCCCATCGTTGATATTCCTCAACACGGGGCTATCCCGCGTGGTGGTGGAGCGGGCCCAGGCCGAGCCATTCTGCTTGCCCTGGTGCAGGTTCCAGAGGCTGCGGTCCTTGGCGCTGTCCAGCTTGGACACGGAGCGCCTCTGGAGCTTCGGTGAGCCATACTTGGGGGAGCAGCACGGCCGCTCGATGCGCGAGTGCACCTTGTCCAGGGAGGAGGAGATCTGCTTGCTGCGCACAGACACTAGTGAGGAGCTGCGGGGTGACCAGCTCTTGCCGTGGAGACTGCTGCGGGGGGGGTCGGTCTGCAGGCCCACGCTGACTGTGCGGATGGTCTGCGTGCCCACGCTGGCCAGGCCCACCGTCTGGCTGGACGTGCTCTTGACCTTCCTCTCCAGGGAGCCCGAGCGCATGGCCTGGCGCACACAGTTGGTGATCTCCTTCATGTCGTCGCTCATGTTGCCAGACATCTCAAAGTCATGCAGGGCGGCTGGGAAGCTGGGGCCCGGCGCCGCAGGACTGCCCCCCGAGCCCGCGTCCAAGCATTGTCGGGAGAAATTGCAGAGCCAGCGGCTGTAGGAGCTCCCGGCCAGCCCGTCGGCCTCAGCTGACTCTTTGGGCTTGGCAGTGGTGAAAAGGAAGCCAGGCTCGATGATGATCTTGCCCTCCCTGTCGTGGACCACGGGGACGCCCAGGCGCCGGGCCACTGGGGGGCTGTAGTACACGCGAATGCCCGTCTTGTCGGGAGCCGTGTAGCTGCGCTGCATCTGCCTCCCCGCGGGCTCCTGGCAGCCCAGGGGGCCCAGGCGGTTGCAGTCCCGTGGCGAGAGCCCTGGCTGCTCCTGGCCCTCCTTCTCCGGGTCCATTGGCTGGGGGCCCACAAAGGCAAAGGCGGGGTTGTTGGGCAGCTTCTTACCCCGGGCCGCGTCCCCGGCAAGGTAGGGGGAACAGTCAAGCAAACTTTCAAATTCAGACATGGAGGAAACAGATTTGGTCCTGGGAGGAGTGGAGGAGAAAAGAGCAACGTTAATGGGAGAAAACAGACAAGGAGCAGACGCTTTGCTCTTCCTCCCTGGTCCCCGCACTGCATGAGGGCTAGGGCCACGACCGTCTGGCTTACCTTTCGTGGAAGACACTGTTGGTGCCCAGCCCCACGCCACCTCGGCACCTGCCCCTATGTACCCAACACGTAACACTGTGAACACCTGCTACTCTGCGCCAAAGGCTTTTCTGTGCCTGCAAGGGCACACCTGACCTCCACGCAGAAGAAGCTACAAATATCACAGAGTCTGGCCCCTAGACACAGCCCTCAAGACTGGGCAGATCTCCTGGCTCAGGACCAGGCCTCCTTGATCCGTGGGTGGGAGAACTCTGCGTTGCCTGTTCTGCTCTGGCCCCCAGAGTTCCTCGGTGAAACAGAGCTTTAGTTGTCCACAGAATGACAAGATCCCCCTTTACCGGCTACTTTCCCTTCCCCGTGTCACTTCCAGTATTTCCCAAATCCCTTCCCAAATAAACCATTTGCACTCAGATCCTTGTTTTGAGATCTTTGAGACAAGTTCTCGAATCCTGTGTATGGTTTTGGGAAACCCAAATAAGATGTCTAGCACAGACATGGCACGTGTTGTCTGATGACTGGAAGTGCCAGGCGGACTTAAGTGCATCTCAGAGGCCAAGATCGTTCGGCCCTCTAGGAACTCTAGCAGACAGCTCCTATTATCCCCACTAGAGACAGATGGCAAATATCAGCCAATGTCACACTACTCTAGGAAATGGCAGAATGGGAGTTCATACCCCGCCCTCTGACTCCAGAACCTACCCTCCTACCCCAGACCGCCTGGCGTGAGGTTGCTCTGACAGCTCTGATGGGGTTCTGTTGCCCTTGTCCTATTCATGGGTTTCCTAAGAGTGAAGATATATCCCCAACAGCCTCAGGGTCTCCATGGCCATAGCACAGGGCCGGGCCCAGAGGAAGCTGCACAATAATCCCAGAACGGAAGCCCAGCCTGATTCCCCTAACTCCAGTTATGGGGAGAAGGAACCGTAAGAGGAGATGAACAGTTACTTTCAAAGCTAGGATATATGCAGCCCCGGGTTTTCATGCATGTCCACTATCATACAAGAAAAATCATGGGCTGGAATTCTCATTCTCCCTAGCTTCCTGGCTCCTGAGTGGCTTTGGTTCCACAGAAACCATATCCCAGGGTTCCCAGCTCTACTGAGATGTCGGGAAGGGGGGGAGTGGTGAGGGAAAAAAGACAAGCAAAGGGGTGGAGCAGGGAGAGGCATCTGAAGGACAGGGCGGGGGAGGGGCTGCAGGGCAGGGCACGGGGAGGGGATGCCAGCACCTTTTTAAGGCGGTACCCCCAAGATCAGCTTCAGAAACTGCCTCCTTGTCCAGAATCTTCTCGCTCTGTGTCTGTCAAGGAAGAGAGGAAGGGTGAGTTCTGGCCACCAGTGCACCAAGGGAAGGGGACAAGAAGTCAGTGCAAGATGACCTGGGATTCCATGACCGAGTCTCCTCTTATAGAACAGGAGTGATGTCAGCACCGATCTGGAATGCCTGCTGGTCAGTTTCTGGCTATAGTGGGTCTAACACTCCCTCCATAGGTACGTGATCCAAGCTTGGCCAATCAGAGCTCCAACAGAAAACCCCAAGGAAAGAGGCTTTTTATTATTTATTTATTTATTTGACAGAGAGAGAGAGAGATGGTAAGAGAGGAACTATTAACAGGGGGAGTGGGAGAAGGAGAAGCAGGCTTCCCGCTGAGCAGGGAGCCCAAGGTGGGGTCGATCCCAGGACCCTGGGATCACAACTAGAGCTGAAGGCAGATGCTTAATGACTGAGCCACCCAGGCACCCTGGAAAGAGTATTTTTTAAAAGTTTTTCTGGGGACGCCTGGGTGGCTCAGTTGGTTAAGCAGCTGCCTTCGGCTCAGGTCATGATCCCAGCATCCTGGGATCGAGTCCCACATCGGGCTCCTTGCTTAGCAGGGAGCCTGCTTCTCCCTCTGCCTCTGCCTGCCATTCTGTCTGCCTGTGCTCACTCTCTCTCCCCCTCTCTCTCTGACAAATAAATAAATAAAATCTTTAAAAAATAAAATAAAATAAAAGTTTTTCTGAATGTGGTGGCATCAAGAAAGCAGCCAGTGGCCACAGTTCAGTTGGTGGTGAGAGCAGTGACCTCAAGATTCCTGCTCAGGGCTTGTCTTCCCCCTAGTTCCAGAGCAGGTCCCCTGGGACTTGCACCTGTTTTTCTGAACCTGCACCACCAGCCCTCTTGAGCCCCCATTAAATCCTCTCATGCCTCAGTTCCCCACAGTTAGTGTTTGTGGCTTGCAACCAAATCTCCCAACTCCCTTGGGCTGTTCTGAGCAAAGAGACGGTATGGTCACTGTTTGGTTACTGAGAATGTTACTGTAATGGGTAAGACCCCCGAAGCTTAGGAGCAAATTTCACCGAAGTGACTTAACCAGTCTCCACAGAGAGGGTGTTCTAAATGAGAAGGTGATTCTCATTTTACCACGGGGGTAACTGGAGCCCAGAGAGGGAGAGAGTGACTCCCTCAAGACCACACAGCTACTCAGAGGCCTGGCTTTTTAGAAAGGCACAGCTGAAACCAAGAAAGAGCAAGCGCCTGGCCAAGGACACAGAGACAGCCGGTCTCTCTCCCAGGCATGGAAGGACAGAGCTGACAGAAGGCTCCTCACAAGTCCCCAGCCATCAGCTGTAACAACGGGGTAGAGATCCCAGAACTGAGGAGCCCAGAATGTAAGGGGGTGACCTTGGTGGGGGGGGGCAGAGTTAGCTTCCTCCCTGTCACATCGCCCCCAAGTGAGGGATGTGGCAGTGTGGCCAGGAGCCAAGAGAACACAGAGGGCCTGCTACCCTGCTTACCTCTTTCCAGCTGTTGTCCTGCTTCTCCAAGTCTGAGTGCTTCAGGATCCAGGGTTCAGCGGCCTTCTGCAGCTGGGCAAGGGTAAAGAGGAGGGTCAGTGGCAGGCAAGGCTCGCCAGTGGGGCCTCGCTCTGTGCAGGGCCAGTCCCTAGACTATGCTTGTAGCCTGGATGACCCAGTTATGGACGAGGAACCATCTTCCCAGCAGGCAGTAGCTCCGAGCCACCAAAAGATGGATCTGGAACCATTTGGAAACATGACCATGAAAGCAACCACTTACAGGCATCCTTATGGATGCCCTCCCATCTGCTCCAGTCCCCGCTGTCACTACTGGGCTACTTCATGCTGCAGTTCCTGGGCTGGATAGGTCAGAGAAGCCACAGCTGAACGAGCAGGGTGGGGACTCCACCACTAGGAATGAGGCCGGCCTCTACACTCTGCCCTGAACAGCTCTCTATGCAAGAGGCGAGTTATAAATGATATGTATCTTACGATTACGTTATCGATAAAACAACAAAAGGATCTCTGTGAATATAAATTTAAGTGGCAAGAAAGGGAAGGAATGGGTTGGGGTATGCTTTTGCACTATCTGGGTCTTATATAAAGATGAAGTCCTGATTTATGTAATTAAAAGAAAAAGTAAAACCAAGGAAAAGAGTCAACATAAAGAGTGGTGCAATAGCCAAACTATGGAAAGAACCTAAATGTCCATCAACAGATGAATGGATAAAGAAGATGTGGTGTACGTGTACACACACACACACACACACACACACACACACACACACACACACACACACAATGGAATACTATGCAGCCATCAAAAAGCACAAACCCTTGCCATTTGCAATGATGTGGCTGGAACTAGAGGGTATTATGCTAAGCGAAATAAGTCAATCAGAGAAAGGCAATTCTCATATGATCTCTCTGACAGGAATTTGAGAGGCAGGGCGGGGGGATCGTGGTGGGGAGGGAAAAAATGAAACAAGATGGGATCAGGAGGGAGACCGAGCATAAGAGACTCTTAATCTCAGGAAACTGAGGGTTCTTGAAGAGGGTGAGGAAGAGGGTGGCTGGGTTATGGACATTGGGGAGGGTATGTGCTATGGTGAGTGCTGTGAAATGTGTAAGACTGATGATGCACAAACATGTACTCCTAGGGCAAATAATACATTATATGTTAATTAAAATAAAGAGTGCGCAGAGCAGCTTGGTAAGCGGCTGCTGGATACACGATGCGAACTGTGGTAGGGTGTAACAGTCCACGATGGTTTTTTCCCATGTCCCCTCTTTTGGCCAGAGGACTTTAATTTTCCCAAATTTTCAGGGTTCGGTAGGCTCTAGGAGTAGGCACATGACTTACAACTGGCCAATCAGCCTTGTGGAAAAGGGAAACTCTTTCCATTGCCTTTGGTAAGCCAGCAAGATTCAAGCACAAAATAGCAACCCTATCTGAGGACAGCTTGCTTATGAATAAAGCACAGAGGAAAGCAAGCCTGGGAGACTGGCAGAGAGATGGGCTTAGCACCTCATGCATTCTCTGAGCGCCTGGATCCAGCTGTAACTGAAGGAGAGCCCAGCCCCAGACCTCTCCCATAGGGAGTCCCATGGCGGCTGCAGCAGGCCTCACCTGGCTCAGGCGGTTCTGCAGCTCCTTGACCTGCTGCTCCACCTGCTGCTTCTCACCCTGCAGCCGCTCCACCAGCTGCAGCTTCTCCTGGCTCCAGTTGCGCTCGCTGATCTGCAGCTGCCGCGTCAGCTCCATGACGGCGCTGTAGGACTCAGCCAGCAGGTGCTGCTGCTCCTCACGCTCCCTCTGGAGGGCGGCCTTCCAGTCCGGCCCCGGCCGCTCCCCAGCCCCCTTGCCAGCCTTCAGCTCCATCTGCAGCAGAAGGAAAGGCAAACTGGGGGGCTGGGACCAGGAGACCCTTCCCCTCTGCCCCCGATCCGGCCACCTTCCTTCCCTCTCAGGCACCAGCAGGGGGCGGTGGTGGGGTGGGGGGAGGCCCCTCACCGGCTAGGACTCCCCCACGCAGAACTAAGCCCTCCTCACAATCAGGGCTCACAAGGAGCACTTTCCACACACTAAGGGCTTCTCAAGCATTATCTCGGCATCCTCGTGAAATCTCAGCAAGACAACTACCTTTTACGATACCTTGTAGAGGAGAAAGGGGCTCGAAGAGGTTAAGTTATTTGTCCCAGGTCACAGAGCTACAAAACAGGAGGCTTTCCTAGTTATTGCTTCTCATATTTCATCAACTCTCACAAGTGGTTTGGGTTTACGGTTGGAGGGGGGCCATGCACCCACGGTCACACAATGAATGTGTGCAGGAATCAGTCCAGTGCGACGGCCTGGGGGGAGGAGGTAAACATGCAGCCTCAAGCATCAGTGTACCCCAGATCCCCCAGGCTGTGGTCCATGAACCCCCACAGGGGCCAGTCAGCTTCCCAGTGGGTAGGGGGGCACCTGGAATGACGGGGTTTGGGGAGCAGCAGGAACATTCAGAGGAAAGGAGGGTGACATGGGGAAGCCAGAAGGTTGCGAGCACTGGGAAGAAGGCTGGGATCATGGTAATGAGAAGCCAGCAGCGGCAGAGGTTTGGGGAGCAAAAGTCAGGTCTGCTACTTACTAGCTGGGTGACCTTGGGAAAGAAACTTAACCCTTCTGTGCTGGTTTTGTTACAGGCTTGGAGGAAGCTGGGACCTGAAGAGCTGAGGCAGGGGCGTAGCTGGTGATGGTTAGGGCATTCTCTCTGAGTGGGAGGCAACCCACCCTCTCACTTTTCAGACCAGAGGAGGGCAGCAACTTGCCTCTGGGCACACAGCAGAGACCAAACACCTCCAGGGCTCCTTGTTAAGGCTCCCGTGGTCACACTGGGTTGTGGGAGTAAAACAAAGCCAGCTAGCAAGAGACAAAGGGGATGCTTATGAGAAGGGGGGGAGCAAATGAGGACAGCAGGCAGCAGAAGCCTGGCCATGTATGTGAAGGACATCACCAGGTGCAGACAAGTATTAAAGCACCTGGCCTCACCTGAGAACCCATGGTGCAGCAGATGGGCCAATGATGTCCCGTGCCCATTTGTCAGTCCCTTACATTCCTTCCTTGGACCCCTGACTCCCAGTCCCCAGTGTTTCTGAGACCCTTGCTGTGTGCTTCAAGGTAAGTCTCTTGCCCTCTCTGGGTCTCAAGAGGAGAGAAGATGTTTCTATGCTTCTTAGGAGCACGGCTTGAGCATCGTGCTCCCAGGTCTGACAGCTATGGGGGCTTAGAAGAGGGAGGAGCAAAGAGGGCAATGTCTCTGACAGGTAGGGGACTCACCTGAGCAGTATGGCTCTTCAACTCTGCCCGCTCTGTCTCCCAGGTGGCCTTGGCCTTGGCAAACTGCTGCTGGAGCTCAGTCAGACCACGGCGTTCATCCCGCAGCAGCCAGCACAGTTCCTTCAGTGTCACCTTCATGTCGGCCAGTGTCTTGATATACTCATTGGGCTGCAGAAAGGGGAAAGGCCTGGGTCAGGAGCTTCGGAGGGGTTGGAAGGGGAGCCTGGGCTGGGAACACTCACTCAGAGTCCAGCATGGGACTCTGCCCAGTCTCAAGCAAACCCCAGGGCCTCCCCAGGCCATCTCACCCAGCCGAGCCCAGGCCTGGGCACCTCCTAGGTTGATATGTGCCCCAGCCTCACATGAACAAAAAAACTCTGAGGTCACAGCAATTATTATTCAGCCTAAATATGTGATGGACTCCGGCTTCTTTGAGCTTCTGCAGACTCTAGGCCCCAGGTCTTTATCCTTGCCCAAGATGTGCCTCTCTGACCCACCGTGGGCCACATGGGGAATCCCAACTATGCAGCCTCCCTGACGGCCTGACTCAGTCTCCATCCTCTCTCCTGGGCCCATGACCTGTCTCCCACCTACCCAAGTTCACTGTGTATGACCCTGGCGGCCCGACTCCATCACTCTCTCTGTCCCATGGCTTGATTTGAGGGTTCCTGACTCCAGACCACAAGGCCTCTCTTCATATGACCCCAATTGGATGTACTTACCCCCACTCTACGCATCCCAAGCCACAGCCAATCCCAGAATACACTGCCACACCTCGGTACACACAGCTCTCTAAGTCCAAAAGGGCCTTTTCCCCACTCTCTAGTATGCAAGCTCCCATTCATCCTTCGAAACCTGCCAGTTATTACCCTTTCTCTATGACACTGTCCCCTACACTCCGGAGAGAATTAACAGCTCTCCTGCGTATGACCGCCCAGTCCACTGCCCTGGATGACTTCTGAACCCCATAGCACTAAGTATCTGGGGCCAGTAACCAGGTGATGGCCCTCCGCAGCTCCAGTGCCCCATGCAAGACAGGTCAGGGAAGGAGGCAGGAAGCGATCGTTAAACAGACAAAGGAAGCATGGGCAGGACAGGACTGGGACTGGGCTGGGAACACACCGTGTTTTGGGTCCAGCTGTCCCCTGCGCAGGTCTTGTTATCAGAATGCTGGGCGTTTAATTCCTCTTCCTCCATTAGCAGGTATAGCTCCTTCATGCTATTTACCTGTTTTTAAAAAAGCCACATTCAACAGGGGCTGGAAGGGTGTCATGCCTGAGAGTCTGACCATCAGGAGAGGGGATTCAGGCTAGTGGCCCAGATAGAAAGGGTACAACACAGCCAGGCAAGAAGAAAGAATGGGGGTTTATGGTCCAGGGTGGACCAAAGGCACTCTAGTTGGACACTGATTTCCCCAGATTTTAACTTTGGCTCCTGGGCACCATCAAGGCCTAGGAGCACAGCTGGAAAGGCAGGCCCCTCTGTCCTCCCATACCAACTCTCTGCCCCAAGGGCCATGAGGCATCCTCAGAAATAATCATGTTGCCAGGCTGGGTCAACAGGTAGGCCCTTCGGATGGACTAAAAGGGCCATGGGCACCCGCATAATTAAAGAAATGGCAACCAAAGTTTGAGTGGACGAAAGGAACCTTCCTGGGAGGGGGTTTGCTGCTGATGGATTCTGCAGAGAAGTCCAGAGCCAGCCAAGGAAGCCAGGGTACTAGTTCAGGGTGGGAATGAAGCAGAAGGAAGCTAACTTCTGACTGGGGCACTCATTCATCATTCGTTCAACAAAGAGTTATTGAAAACCTACCGTGCACCAAGCCCTGTGTTCAGAGCTGGGGATACACCAGTGAGCAAGATGGACAAAAACCGTTATCCCCTTTAGCTTCCATTCCAGTAGCAAGAAAACTAACAAATAAGTGCAATGTATGAAATGGGATTAACTGTCTGGAATATCACACAGCGAAGCTCCACGGGGTACAAGAGCAAGCTAAGGAGCTGAGGGTGGGGGGTGCTGCATGTGGGTGGTCAAGGAGGGCACTAGTATTCGGGCAAAGTCCTGAAAGAGCTAAGAGAGAATGAGCCATGTGAACACCTGCAGGTCGAGAATTCCAGGGAAAGGGCACAGCAGATGCAAAGGTCCTGAGGTGGGAACATGTCTGCGTGAGGGAAGCAGGAGAGCCACGGAGAAAGCGAGACAGGTATGGGGAATAAAGCTGGCCGCCCACACCCGGGACTTGTAGGAACTTCAGCTTTGGCTCTGGGTAAAATGGGAGCCAGAGGAGGAGCCAGAGGAGGGATGCCCACCTGATTTTTGGTTTCTCAGGATCGCCACAGCTGCCGAGCTTAATGGGCAGCAACAGAACCCCCAACACAAAACTCCAGGGGATGCCATCCACATGCAGTACATGCCGCCTGGGGTACCTCCTTGTATCCTTCTGAACACAAGGTGCTTGGCAGAAGGGTGCAGAGTGGGGAGACCACTTAAGAGGCTACAGTGAAAATCCAGGCAAGAAGTGATGGTGGCTCAGCCGGGAGGGAGGGCAGAGCAGCTGGGTCAGACTCTAGATTCTGGATAGAGTCACAACATGCAAGGAAGGCCATTCAAGCCATGTACCTGGACAAGCTCCCCAAGGGGGCAGGTGGTGGTAAGGGAGAGACGTGGCCCAAAGGCTGAGCCTTGGGGACTCTGACGTTAAGAGAGGGCAAGGAGAAAAGGAGGATCCAGCCAAGGAGATCAAGAAAGAGCAACCAGTGAGGTGGAAGGAAACCCAAGAGAATTTGATGTCCTAGAAACCAAATGAAGAAGGGTTTCTAATATCAGCGCAGACACTGAGACTGGGAAGTACTCCGAGGATGGTGGGGGAGAAGGGCAGGGCCTGCCTGAATAAACACCCCAATTCTGTCCCTGGTCATGAGTATCTAAACATACAGACTATGGTTGTCTGTAGACACAGGTGCATGATTCTTTCTCCAAAATCCTCGGGGCCAGGTGTGTTGAGAATTCAAAATGCATGGGGATTTAGAAAGACAATGTGGTACCCACACTATTCAGGGTATCACTGCCCCAGCAGAGCCTGGTGTAACACTCTAGGCTCAAGCACACTCATGTTTCCCTACAAACATATGAATATTAACACGAAATGGGATAAATAAAGGTTTTACTGCCAAATGAATGTCAGGCCAATCTTTTCCAATTGAGTTTAGATACAACCAAACACAGCTCTCTCAGAATTTCTGGATTTCAGAACTGAGGCAAGGAATCAAAGATCTTTATCTGCAGTAGAATGGGAACAATAATTATCTACATATCTTAGCATATCTGTAAAGATGAAATGCAATCATTCACCTAAAGTACTTAAAACAGTACCTAGAATACCATACTCAATGCCTGAGCGTTTTTTTTTTATCATTCACACGTATAGTTATCATTTCACATGTAAAATTCTGCAAGTGTGGACAGATATTTTTGAGTATGAATGTACATCGTTTATTTATATAGTTACATGTATGTGTTTATATCATATTTATACACGTGTATGTATCTTTTTTACCAATGTATGTGGTTATGCTTACATCTTTTTTTAAAGATTTTATTTATTTATTTAAGACAAAGGGAGCAAGCATGAGTGGGGGCGGGGAGGGGCAGAGGGAGAGGGACAAGCTGACTTCTCACTGAGCAGGGAGCCTGACATGGGGCTCAATCCCAGGACCCCGAGATCTTGACCTGAGTTGAAGGCAGACACTTAACCCACTCAGCCATCCAGGTGCCCTGATTATGTTTATATCTCTCTTTTTTTAAAAGATTTTTATCAGGCGCCTGAGTGGCTCAGTCATTAGGCGTCATGTACAGACGTACATGACAAAACTTCATCAGCTGTACACTTAAGATGTGTGCACTTTACTCTATACAATGTATCCCTTAAAGTAGTAAAAAAATAATATGTACTATATGGGTCCATAATGGCATAGTAACAAAACTAGATTATTCAATTTACCCAGTTACTGTTGCCTGCTGCGGACTCTGAGGTTCATTGCAAAGGTAAATGAACAAGTCTTAGCGAGGTGTTAAAGACCGATCAGCTCTCTTTGGGGAGGGACCAGGTCTGTCTCCATCACAGTATCTCTGGCCACAGTGTCTGGTAAAGAGTTAGTTCTCAACAAGCGGAAGCTGAACAAGTGAATGAATGCAGGGATGGAAGCCTACAGCCTGACGGCTTGGGGATGAGCCTCAGGGTTGTGTCAATGTCACCTGGGTGTCTACTCCCATCTTCCCCACCCTAGCCCTGCCCTAGTCCCAGCCCCAGGGGAACCATACCTCAAGGAAGTCATCCCCCTCGCTGGGCAAAATCTTGCCCTGCCGCCAACGCTTGAGGAACCACCTGAGTTTCATGAAGAGCAGCAGGAAGTTGTGCTTGAACTGCTGGGACTCCTGCACCAGCATGTTCTTCTCCTGGCTCCAGAATTTCTGCTCCAGCCTCCGCTGGAGGCTCAAACTCTGCAGCTCAAACTCCCGCCTCAGGAGCGCCCTCTGCTGGTCCTCCTTCAGCTGGGAGGGGGACAGGAGCGTGAGCACCCTCAGCTACCTTCCCAACACTCCCCTTTCCCATTCCGGGCCTCAGATAAAGACAGAGAGGAAAGTTTGGGAGGTGCCTTTTGGTGATCCCTGCCAGGGGCTCTACCAACGTCAGCTCATTGTGTTGGGATAAACTCCAGGGAAGAGAAACTCATAAAAGCAATAGCGATCAGTTACGGATCACTGGGAAGTGGGATTTGAACCCGGCTCTGCCTCACTGTAAAAATCATGACATCACATAATGAGCACATGCTGGCTGCCAAAGTTTCACGGGAACTCTCACATCTGATGAGGAACCCGGGCGGGTGAGCAAGGAGGGCAGGAAGGCATGACCTATGTCGAGCGCGAAGGGCATGCCATGCCGGGAGAGAGAAGATGCAAATCCTGAGGAAGGAATGCAAGGTCATGATTGAGAGAGCAGAGACCGGGATTAGAGTCTCACCCTGGATATGCAACCTGGGCCAAGCACTTCAGCTCCCTGGGCATCAGTCTCCCCATCTGTAAAATGGGGACACCCTCACAGGGGAAATCCTGAGGACTAAAGGACATAATGTGTGAAAAGAGCACTGCACAGCCCTGACATACAGTAAGGGCTTAATACATGCTTTCTATTAGCAGGACTACCAGCCTGGATCAGCAGCCAGACCTCTGGGCTTTCTGATACAGGTTTTCAGCTCTGATGGGAGCAGTATGTCATAGGTGGGAAACTGAGGCCTAGAGAGGAGACAGGATTGGCCTGAGGTCACACAGGCCGTCAATGACAAGCCCAGGATTCCAGCCCAGTAGAGCTGATGCACGATCAAGTACAGCTAGGGCAAGCAGACTCAAGTTTCCCGATACCCTTGCCTTCTGAAGACCCGTGGAGCCCTAAGGTTTCTGCCTTCTGTTCAGGGAAGAGATGCTGGAGTCAGTATGGGGGGCGGGCACTGGGCACCACCCACCTGGACCATTTTCTGGTTGAAGTTGTCGGCTTCCTCCTTCCGAAGCTGCCGCTCCTGGGACAGCTGCTCCTGCAGGCCCCGGAGGCTGTCATGGGCCTCAGCCAGTACCAGCTGTAGTTCCTTGATCTGGGATAGGGATGAGGGACACAGACACAGGGAGAGAGTGGGGTGGGGGGAAGAGCTGTGATCAGAGGATGAGAGTTAAGTGGGGTCCAAGCTGTCCCTAGAGTACAAATCAGGCACAGTGGCTGGCCCTACTTCAAGGGGTTGTCATGACAATTAAGCAAAACAGTGCACATCAAATTTAGCTATTATTATAATTTAGCCTTGATAATTTCCCTCTTTGAAATGCATTGGAAGAAAATAACATATTGAGAAAGCTAAGTTGGCTTCGCAAAGATGTTCATTGTCTCATTGTTTATAACTACAAAAATTTAGAAACAATTTGGATAAATTAGGGGATTAATAGGTGTGGTTAACATGTCTATGCATATGTAAAAGTCCATTCAACTGTACACTTAAGGATAGTGTCCTTAATTGCATATATATCATTATATTATACTTCAATAAAAGATTAAAAAGGATATATACCCCAATAGAAAAACAGAAAGGACACAGGGACACACACTTAAATGTGAACAGTGGTTAACTGACAATCTTGTGATCTTGACTTCCTTCTATATATTTTCATGCAATGCTGCTTTGGGATTTCGCTCTAGTTATTTGTTGCTTATAATGTCCATATAATAAAATCTTAAGAAAAAGACAAAGCTCTACGTTTTGAGGGGAAATTGTGTTTATAAGTATTGTAGCTAAACAGGCAGAACTAATCTATTCTATTAGAAGTCAGGATGATGACTGGATGGGGACCAGAAGGGAGGCTTCAAGGATAGGTCAGGCTCTGCTTCTTAATGTGCTCGCTGATTTCAAAGGAGTGTTCAGTTCGTGAAAGTCATTCTAACTGTCCACTTACAAGTGCTTTTCTATGTGTGTTATGCTTCAATTTAAAAATTTTTCAAGTATTTCTAGTAACAGAGGGAAATTCTTATGCTATCATGTTAAGCAGGAAAAAAAAAAAAAAGGAAATATCATCTGCTACTCCTACATCAAACCTTCCCAGGCACAGCAAGATGTCCCTCTGTGGAAAAAAAAAAAATTTTTTTTATCTAGCCAATAACATGGAAACTTGGTGATGGAAGGCACTCTGACTTAAGGTATATCTTGTATGCCTATTTTATATGAAAGATTCTTGCAGAGTTCTTCTTGGACTCGGTGCCTAACCCAGAGCCTGGCAAGTTGTAACTGCTCAGTCAAGAGTGGCTGAATGAAACAATAACCAAATGCATGCAGGTGAGCTGGCCTATCTCCTTTTCTCAGAAAATGAGAACTAAGTATTTCATGTTATGTTTTGGTTTTTCCCTTTTTGCCATGGCTGCTAGGAAGCTCAGACCACTTAGTTTGATTCATCAGCTTCCAGGGAATTTCTCCCCCTGGGCACTTGCAGATTGGCCTTCCTGGGACCACAAAATGGCCTTCCCAAGGATGTTCAGAAGAAAAGGGTGCTTAGGGTGGGACACACACAAGGTTCTCCATGGCTCAGGAGTCTCAGGGAGGCTCCATCCCAACCACAGGAGCCTTTTCCTACTTCAGGTTCATTATGAAGTGCTGGTGAAGACTCAGAAGGCTGGGGAGGGGGGTCTCAGGATGAGGGAATCCTAGAAATTGGACAATCTCCACCCACTTGAATCCTCCCATGTTACAAGCTGGAAAGATGCAGCCAGAGAATGGGAACAGGCCCAAGGCCACAAAGCCACACTGGTGGGTCCCCTGAGGCCCTGAGATGTGTCATCCTCCTCTTCCTCACCCAACAGGATCAGGCTGTAATAAGGCTTTTCAGGCATTTAATCCCTTCAACAGCCCTCTGAGGGATCACCTTTATTGTAAAGGTAAGAAAACAGAGATCAGAGAGGTCAAGTGACTGGTCTACAATCTCACAGCCAGTATATAGTAGTTGCACAATTTGAATGAAAGCAGTCAGCCTGACTATAAAGATTGCTGCCCTCCTGCTAAAGAAATGAGTGGTTTCGTTAAATGACATAAACCATCAAATTCCCTGGGAAATTTAGTATAGCAAAACAAAATCCATTCTTTCAAATGAGTTTATAAGCTTCCTTTTATCAGGCCAAGGCCCAGACTTCCTTGTCTCCCTTTCAGCTTGCTGTCTGGAAGCGTGGAACCACACAGAACACTCAAAATCCACGTCATCACCAGCTAAGCTTTTCCACAGATCGCCCCACCTCTGGGAGGCCCCAGCCACTCTCCTCCAGCCCTCCCCCTCACTCCGTCAGGCCTAGGCCCACCTCAGAGGCGTAGGAATCATTGTCTTCAGCTCGGTAAGGCCTGAAGTTCCGGCTGGGGTCGGGCTTGGAGTCCAAGTCACCACTGCGGAAGGGCTCTCGTATCCTGGGTTCCCATTCTGGCAGATCCCTGAAGTCAGGCGGCTGCACCCAGAGGCACAGGCGGAAGAGACCAAAGGTAACAATGGGGAGGGGCCCAGGGGGTGCGAGAAGCAGCCCCCACCCCAGGCCCCGGGCTTTAGAAGAGGCTCTGACCACCCACTTGAGGGCTGGGGCCTCAGTGGGCCTACAACTACTCAGCGAGCGAGTCTCTGTTGAAAGGATGAATGAGTAGCCAAGTGGTGGGTGAGAATCCTGGTCCTGTGAAAATGTCTGTCTTGTGCACAAACCTTCTGAGCCAGCCTCAACAGTCCTGCCACATGGGTAGCCTCAGCTCATTCCTACCTCCAGAAGAACCAAGGGGGAGACCTAACATGGGGGGGGGGGGTTCCTGCTTGCTTAAAAAAGTAAGATCAAGCCAGATCAGCAGGGCACAGATTAAAGAAATTATGGCACAACTACACCGCGTAGTTGTCAGGAAGAAAGCTAAATTTGTACGGACGTGGTTAGACCCCTCTCATTGCTCTCAGGGTGAAATGCTCCCATAACCCAACCGCCCTCCTTCCCTTTGCCCGCAGGCACACCATGCTCCTTTCGGCCATGATGCCTTCTCATGGGCTGCTCTCTCTGCTTACAACTCTCTTCCCTGCTAATCAACCCTTATGATCTCAGCTCACATCAGAGGCCATCCCTGACCTAAAGACGAGGTCAAGTTCCTTGTTCACAGAACCAAGTGTCCTTTCCTGAGAGCCCTCCTATCCGTGTCATTTCACATTCCAGTGGCCTGACATCTTGATGAACCTCTTTCTTCCCCACTAGATGATAGGGACCAGAGGACAGGCATCAGGTCTGGTTTTGTTCCAGCTCCAAGCACAAAAAGTACATGACCAATAAATACGGCAGTGTAAGCACACGAACCACTAGACACATTACACAAGAACAATCAGTTGTGTGGTGACAGCAGGTACCACATAAAACAATCTGGGTGAGAAACAAGCCCACGAGAGGACATGTACAGAAAGACTTCAAAGGGCATGCTGTGATGATGACACGGTCATGTTCTGGGTGATGAGAACATCAGTGTGCTCCCCTTAGGAAAATCCAGTAAGCTGAACACTCGCGTGCCATGTGCCACTCTGTCCTGCATATGATTCGGCAAAAAATTTCTAACAAAAGAAGTAACGGGGACTGTGACTGGGACATCTTACCTGGAAGTCAGAGCCAAGGTCTTTGGCCAAAAGCATCTCCTTGGAGGGCCCCTGGGAGCCCAAGGCAGGCAGCGACGAGAAGGGCTCTGGCTGCTCCTTGGGAGAGCCCCCCAGGGCGGCATCCGCCTTCCGCGTGAAGGCATTGAGCTCCTGCTGCAGCAGACTCAGCCTCACCAGGATGGCGTGGATGAGCTTGGCGTCCCTGGGACCCTCGCTGTTGTCGGGGGCTTCGTGCAGCCGAAAGTCAGCACACTCGTTGTCCAGACAGAGGCGGAGGCCAGCCGAGAAGCCGTTGGCATCGGCCACCAGGACATCGATGGCCTTGCTGACCAGCGCGGCCTGTTCCCTCAGCCCAGGCAGCGCCTCGGCCTCCCGGGCCCTGCAGAGCCGGGCAGCATGGGGGCCGGGGGCGTCGCCAAGAGCCGCGGGCACACACTGGGCAGAGTCCCCGGCCTCGGCGTCCGTCTCCAGCATGGGCCGCGTGCTCTGGCAGGAGGCGAGGTCACAGCGCTGGAGGTTGGAGAGTAGCACCCGGTTCTCGTACTGTAGCTTCTTGACCTTGCCGCTGAGCTCGCCGATCTGCAGCTTGGCGGCCGCCAGCTCCTCTTGCGAGGGCTCGCTGAGCACGGAGCAGCTGTCCTCCGACAGCGTCACGTCCAGCTCATGCTCCGCGCGGAACTTGGCCAGCTCGGTCAGCAGCAGCTTGTTCTGGTCCTCCAGCTCAGCCGACGAGCGCCGCAGCAGCTCGGCCTCCTCCTCCACGAACTGCAGGTGCCGCCGCAGCTCGGCCAGGCTCTCCCCGCACTCGCCGCCGCCCAGCGCAGAGAGGGCCAGGCGGGCCTCGCCGCCGCTGCCGCAGCCGCCGTGATCCTTCATGTCGTCCATCTCTGCCCGCAGGCCTCGGTTTTCCACCTCCAGCTCCACAATGCGGCGGCTCAGCAGGTTGGCTTCCTCCTCCACCAGCTTCAGGTGCACCTTCAGCTCGGTCTCCCGGGAGTGGGGCGCGTCAGCCAGCTCCTCGGCGGACAGGGCGCCGTCCAGGTCCCCGAAGAGCGAGCGGTACTTGAGCAGCTCCTCCTTCATGCTGTCGTTCTCCTTGGCGAGTTTGCTGAGCTTCTTACACATGAGGGCTGACTCCTCCTTTGCAAAGTGCAGCTGGCACTTCAGGTCTGCACTGTCCTCCTGCAGCCGGATGGACACAGGGACACACAGGACCCAGGAAGGTGAGTGTCACGACCGCATGTCGGGGAGCACTAACTACGTGCTGGGGGACACAGGAAGGAATCAGACAAGGGCCTGACTCTTGAGGAGCAGGGGAAACGGGGAGGGAGACCTCCTTGATGTGGCACAGCCTGGGGAATCCGGGAGGGCTTCCTGGAGTAGGCGACATCCTGCCACGCAACTGTTGCTGCCACTGCTGCTACCATGACTACTATAGTTTCCTCATCTGTAAAATGGGGCAGTAACACTCCCTTCCTCATGGAGCCACAGGGAGGATTAAGAGAGATAACGTAGGAAAAGTGCCTGGCACGCTGACAATCCAGGACCACAAGAGGCTAACTGTACCCTATGCCTGACCTACACCACATCTGTATGTAGCACTTTATCTGTCTGCCAGTGCAAGAACCATGGGCTCCGGGCATCATATTGGGAAGTGAAACGAGCACTGAAGCCAACAAAGTGAAAAGGAAAAGGGCGGGGTTGAGGCTGGGGAAGAGTGGGCTTCCCAGGCCACTTGGAGTTAGGCCTCGGCCCTTCAGATTCAAAATTGCCTGTGGGGGCCGTGGGGGCTGCCAGGAAATACCTGCACCGAAGGCTTCTTGTCTGTCTTCCCCAGGGAGCGAGTTCCTCTTTTCTTCAAGGAATGCTAGAAATTAAAAACAAAATACAAAAAGAAAAAAAAAAAAACTCAGAAAACTGAAAGCTCATAGGTTGATGATGGGCATCGAAAGTAGTCAAGGTGCCTTGGGTTCCACTGTGGGCCCCCCTCCTTGCCCAGCCTAGCCCAGCCACAATCAGTGCTTGACCAGCACCAACTACTGAGTTACAGGGGTCCTCAAGAACACCCAGCAGGCCAGAAGCATGTAAGGAGAGGACTCTGATCACACCTGCCCAGGGTTCCCCTCCAACCCCTCCCCTACATTATGATCCAGTTGGCCTGGGCCAAGACCTAGAAATCTGGGTTTCTGTTCTTCTGCGTCTTTCATTCATTCACTGAATACTTCTTGAGTACCTATTATGTGCCAGGTACAACTAGGCACAGAGGACACGGCAATGAACAAGCCAGACAGGATACCTGGGGAGGATGCTATGGACTCCACCCAGATTCCCGCCTCCTCAGAACTGGGGCACTTGTTCCCCCAACTAAGACCTAAGTGATGCTGCTGGCTGAGGGCAGCCCCTTCGTTCAAGATCATATGCCCATATGCAATGACTGGTCCACGGCCTCCTGCCTCAACTCAGAACAACTCTGAACAGCCGTCCCAGTTCCAGAGCTCCCCAGGAGATGGGCCGAAGCCGTTAGTGTGAATGCTCTGAGGCTCTTTGGTGGCATTATTCCCAAGGGGACCCTTCCATAAACACACAAATCTCCATTTCAGGGGGAATCCTGTCCTCGTGGACTTTAATTCGGAATGCATACTAATAAACAAAATGCATAATGGGTAAAACAGATCACAATTACACAGGAGGGACTGCTCGATTTTTCACAATTTAAATTGTAAGTTTTCATGCAAAATAACACCATAATAATCATCATTCAAAAATCCAGAACTGATATGGAATGAAACTGATTTTTTTTAAGAAATTGATACTCTTAATTAGATAAGCAAATTCTACATGGAAAAAAGTACCCTAAGAAAGTAAAAGTATAAACGATACTGGGAACATTTGCAGTTTATTGCACTGACAAAGGATTAATATCCTAAGTACATATAGAGCTTCATAAAATATGAAACAAAAAGGCCAACAAACCTATACTAAAATGTGCTAGAGATATGAAAAACTATTCAGGAAAAGAAAGATAAATGGCTTGTAACCAGAGGAAGATGTTCAACCCTATTCAAGATGGAGAAATGCAAATTAAAACTACACCCAGAGACCATTTCTCACCCATCGGATGGGCAAAAATCCAAACATCTGACAATATATTCTATTGGTGAAGCTATGGAGAAGCAGGAAAAGTCCTATTCCTCTGGGAAGAATGCAAAATGGCACAAACCTTATGGAGGGGAACTTGAGGAAATGTTACAATAATTTCTCCTAAAGTTTCTTGATGTTTAAAAAAGTCACTCAGGGGGCTCCTGGGTGGCTCAGTCGGTTAAGAGACTGACTTGATAACAGCTCAGGTCATGATCTCAAGGTCAAGGATTCGAGCTCCCCACTCGTCCCCCACAAAGTGCTCAGTGGGGAATCTGCTTGAAATTCTCTCTCTCCCTCTCCCCCTGCCCCTCTCTTTGCTCTAATAAATAAATACAATCTTTTAAAATTTTTTTAAAAAATAAAATTTAAAAGTCACTCAGATGGATGAGTGTGTTGAACATTCCTTCCCGCGAGAAGGATGATTTATACTAAATGTACAGAACCACGCTTGGGTTGCCTTTGACTTTTCAAGTTCAGCTGAGTATTTTCTGAGAGTGCTCCCAGGTGTTTGAATGCATGCTTCCCTAGGCCCCCACTTCTCACACCCATCCCTGAAGGTGAGAATTGATGAGGGAACAGAAGGCTGGCTGAGAACAAAGCAAAAGCTGACACCCTCCAATCTTCCCCCACCCTCACACTCCTGGGTGGGACATATGTGACATTCTTTAGGAATTTCCCACCCATCTTAATGTTAATACCTTGCTAAGGGGGCAAAACGACCTTGGCAATGGCAAGGCCTCTGGTATCTGGTATCTTTCGTAGGTCCTCTTTAGCATATGAAAATTCTATTGAAACCTCCCTTTTCCTTACCTCCCCCCAACTCCATGGTACTTAACCTGCCATCCCTCACAACTCGGGTGGGGGGGCAGCAGCTCTTCCTGCCCACAGGTCCTGTTCTCGTGCTTTAATAAACCACCATTTTGCACTAAAGATGTCTCAAGAATTCTTTCTTGGTCATCGGCTCCGGACCTCACCCCACTGAACCTCACCTATATTCTAGAACTTCATCAAGAACCATGGATCTAATTCAAGCCCCCACCTCGCTGAAGGTGGGAGAAAGGTCCCACAGTAAATCCATAGCTGACCCGGCCGGGGTCAGTTCTCGACTGAGGTCCTGACATAGTTCCCAAGACTTGGAAGGAGAAAATGTGCTCCGAGTGGAGGGGGCACAGCGGCTCTCAACCTGGGTGCGCATCACAATTACCTGGGGGAAGTTTAACAAAAAATGCTGATGCTCCAGGTCCCAGAGATGCTGCTGTAATTGTCCAGGGTGGGTCCCAGGCATTGGGATTTTTAAACAGCTTCCCAGGTTGATTCTACAGTGCGCCCAGCCTGAAACCAGAAAGCCCAGGAATTGAACTCCAGCTGGGGTCTGAAGTGTATCTTGGAGCCCAATCAAATCCTAAAGAGACCTTTTGAAATGCAAACGAGGCAGGAAGACAGAGGCTGACATTTCAGCCGCTGGGGGCCCAGAGCGAAGAGCCAGTATGTGAAAAGGGCTGATCTGGCATCTTTCAAAATCAAGGAGGAGAAGGCCGGAAATGGGGTGAAGCCACAAAACAGGTTCCCCCCACAAACAGCCCCTCCCACAAATGGTGCCTGGGAAGGGGGTGCTCAGAGGGACACCCAGGCATGGAGTGAGTGGTGAGGTGACTGACAGGCTCACAGATCGGGGCTGGCTTATCGCAAGCTGAGGGGGAAGGGAGGCCTCCACTGGGAGCTGAACTCTGGCAATCCCACAACGATGAGTTTCTCATCCTGGGCGAACCCCTTCCTTTCCCTACAAAACTGAGCCACTTCAGGTGATCTTCAAGCACTGCAGACTCCCTGGAGGGAGGAAATGGGGTGACAGGAGGGGGGGGCAGGGCGCTATGAGGTCTCACCCACCACATATAAAGGAATGAAATCCTACCATGCCTAACACCATTAAAAAGGACGGATGCGGGGCGCCTGGGTGGCTCAGGGGGTTAAAGCCTCTGCCTTCGGCTCAGGTCGTGATCCCAGGGTCCTGGGATTGAGCCCCACATCGGGCTCTCTGTGAAGCGGGGAGCCTGCTTCCCTTCCTCTCTCTCTGCCTGCCTCTCTGTCTACTTGTGATCTCTGTCTGTCAAATAAATAAAATAAAATCTTAAAAAAAAAAAAAAAAAGGACGGATGGGAGTGGGATTTCCTGACATAGTAAAGTCTCTGAGACATCTTGGTAAGGAAAAGAAGGAACACATGCAACAAAACCCACAACCCAAATGTCCACCAACTGACAAATGGACCAAATGTGGTATATCCACACGCAGGAGTATCATCGCTCACCCACCGAAAATAACGAAGGACTCGTACTTGATACCATATGTGTGTATCCTGAAAACAGCACGCTAAGTGAAGGAAGCCAGTCACAAAAAGCCACACAATGTAGGATACCATTTACATAAAATGTCCACAGTAGGCAAATCCACAATGATAGAGAGCAGATCAGTGGTTGCCCAGGGCTGGGCGTGGCCCACCCACCCACCCACCCTGAGTGGCTGGGGAGAGACTGTTAATGGGCTTGGGGTTCTGGATGGAGAAAGTGGTGAAGGTTGTTCAGCTCTGAATATTCTACAAAACCACTGAACTGTACACTTTAAAAAGACGAACTTTATCGTATGTGAATTATATCTCAATAAAGCTGTTATAAAAAAGAAAAACCTAGAGCATGTTACCATTGTTAAAGAAATAAGGGTGTGTGTGTGTGTGTGTGTGTGTGTGTGTTTCTGAAGAACATACCCCAGGCTGTTCACAATGAGAATATAGCAAACTTACTTGGCTCTCTTCTTCCCCCACATTTGTGGCGGGTGGGGGAGACACAGTCCTCCAGCTTTTTCTTTAAGCTTTTTTTCTCATTCCAAAATATTTTTTAAAATAAATTAATATAGAAAAATACAATCTCACTGTAAATCTACACAACAGTGACAATCAGAAGTACCCCCCCACCCCCGGCCCCAGCCATTCTCCTCCGCAACCTGAGGGTGACCACAGCAGACAGCCAGTTGGAGCTCCTTCTCGACCTTTGGCTCTGTGTTTAAATACTGAAATAGACAGTGCTCTTTTAGACTTTTCTTTCCTTCCTATGTTTACTTGACTCTGTGATCTCTGATTTTTATAATAAGCACCTCAGGCAAAAGAAAACCCCAACCACCCAGCATTTTTAAAAAGTTTGTGTTCATGCTACATTATTCTACACGTTACAGAAACCATGGATACAATATAATCCCATCTTTATTTTCTAAAAATACACAGAGAAATACACATTGTGTGAACACGGAGAAAGGCTAAAAAGACACAAACCAACCTGCTAACCAAGGGTTAAGCTGGGTCAGGAGCAGAATTGAAGGAGGTGGTTAAGAGAGGCTTCCTTCTCATTTTTTATGTAGGGTTATTATTATTTCTATTATTTTTTTGGATAACACATTCACATTGTTCAAGCTTCAAAAACCACAAAAATGGGGGAATTTGGGTGCAATATAAGAGATCTAGGCTTTCAGTTATGGAATGAACAGGTCTCCTGGATGAAAGGTACAGCACAGGTTATGTAGTCGATGGTGTTGGAACAGAGCTGCGTGGTGACAGACGACAGCTACACCTATGGTGAGGACAGCAAAATGTGCAGACTTGTTCAATCACTATGTTGTACACCTGAAACCAATGTCACGTTGTGCGTCAACTACTTAAAAAAAAAAAAAAATCACAAAAA